TGCTGTGTAAAAAAAAAATTTTTTTTTTTTTTAATTTTCCTGCAATTTGGAACATTGCAAAATCCTGCAGGAATGTCTATGAATGTTACCCTGCTTTATTAAATGTTTTTATTCCTTAAATAAAACTTTCTGTTTTTAGTTCTAGTGGAGTATCTGGTGTTTCACTATGACAGATATGACAACAAAAGTGCAAACAGCAAAAACCAAAATAGATAAATGGAATTTAATAAAAATTAAATACTTTTGTTCATCAAAGGACTTTATTTAAAAAATAAAAGTGAAGAGATAACCTATAGATGCAAAGAAATTTAAGGAATCATGTAGCCAAAAAGGATATCCAAATATATATATTCTATAATTAACAATAAAAGGACAAACAATCCAATCAAATAATGGGCAAGGACTTGAACAGATATTTCATAAAAGAGAATACATAACAACAACCATAACCCTAACCCCAGCTTTACACTAGCCCTAATTCTAACCTTGACCCTGTACTAACACCTAGCAACAATCAAAACACCAACGGGTACATGAAAGTATGCTCAAGGTCACCCATTGCCATCCAGTTGATTCTAACTCATAATGACCCTACAGGACAAAGTAGAATTGCCTAATCTTTCTTTTGTGAAACAGTTGGCGGGGTCATACTGCTGACCTTTTGAATAGCAGCCGAGCAGTTCACCACTATGACATCAAGGCTCCTCTTGTTAGCCATTGGGGAAGTACAAATCAAAACTGCAAATAGATAACTCATCTCCATTAAGATATACTCAAACTCATTGCTGTCGAGTAGGATCTGACTCATAACAACCCCTCCTTGGGTTTCCAAGGTGGTATCTCTGTGGAAATAGATTGCTCAATCTTCCTTCCGAGGAATGGCTGGTGGGTTTGAACAGCCAACCTTCTGGTTAGCATTCAAATGCTGTAGGCACTATACCACTAGAGCTCCTCTCCGTTAGTATGGGAATCCTAAAAACAACAACTCTGGCAGCAAACCTCAGGAGGGAAAGGAACGTGATGAAATCAATCATACATATCCACTTATTCTATCAATGACATATATGCAATGAAGAACCAATCATGACTATGCACTGAGGTCCTATAATGCAGATGCATTGTTATAAAAAGCCCAAATGCAGACATTATATGGGATTGACTGGATTGGTGAGAACATCCATGAAAGGGAGAAGGTGACACATTCCTGGGGACAGTAGAAACCTTGTGCTGGGATGTCTCCTAGACCTTGCCTGATGTCTCTCTTTGCTTGTATCTTTTCTGGTTATAATAAATGGGTAACTCTAAGTGTAGGTAGTAGCCTCCATGAATTTTGTGAGCCATTCTAGAAAATTAAGGAACCTACAAGGAGCAGTGAAAACCAACAGAAGTTAGCATCTGCCTATTTGATCTGAAGGACAGAATCCTTCTAACCTGTTGACCTAGCCCTAAAGGGCTAAGGGTGGAGGGAGACTGGTCTGAAGTACAGGGAGTTGTATAGACTCTTGAGCCAAGGCTGGTACAAATGACCTGGCCCTAGATGGTCAGGTTTGTTTTGACCTGGCTCAGAGTGGCTGGGGATGAAATCTTGTAATAGTATAGACAGATCAGAATTTCTGGGAGATGAATATATGTTCTAACTTCATAACCTAAAGCTTCATATTAATCTTGTTCAATTTAATCATTGACTTATTCTACTACTTGTAACCACAATCACATAAAAATCTGCCCCTACAACCACATTCCTGTTGTTGTTGTTGTTGTTATGTGCCGTCGAGTCGGCCCCGACTCATAGCGGCCCCTCCTTGGGTTTCTGAGGCAATATCACTACGGAAGTAGGATTGCCCAACCACATTCCTAAGATCATAAAACCAATACAGGAACAGCTCACAGGACAGGGTGACCACTTTCCTCCAATCCTGACACTAAGGAAAGGACACCGCAAAAGAAATAATGCAAATGTAAATTTACAGCTTAGATGGCACTTCCTGATAACAGGCCATTTTTGAGGTGTCTTCTAGCCCACTACCCATGCTCAGCATTAACCAGTTTGGGAGCCTGTGCACCCCGGCCCTCCTTTAGTGCCTGATGAACTAAGATGGGTGATATAAGATGGGACTGAGTCAAACCAAGAGCAAACAGCAGAATATACCCTCACAGAAGGAGTCGCAGCATCCATGTTGAAACATGCAGACTCCATCTTAGAAAGAGATTGCACATGCACCTAGCCTGAAGGAAGTTGAGGTCTATCATTAGGAATTTATCACAGCCTTGTTCTGCTTTCTCACTTTTGCACAAGGGTCAGGATTTTATGAGTATCCTGCCTGCATAAAGTCTTTGGATATTGTGTACCCCATATCATTAAAACTATTATAAAAACCCCTAGCCTGTAAGGCTCAGGGAAACACATGTGGCGTTGCCTCTGGCCCAGTGTTTCTCCACTTTGCAAGGTTACCTGCCTCTTATTAAATGTCTCTCTGAGCTACAGCTAACTTCTAGTCATTATTTCGGAACTCGACCTACAACTATCTGACCTAACTCAGGGTGGTCAGGATCAGAGAGAGGGAGTGCCACAGAAGTGTCTGGTTACAAGAATCATAGAAACGTTGGGAGGTAAAGTCAATTCATTTTCCCATATTGCCTGTTTAGCAGTGCACTGATTCTACTAACTAAGCTCCCAACTGACTTGTGCCAGGTAGGTTCTCCTGTTGTAAGAAAAGTATGTTGAGGCACCAGTTAGAAAGCAGCTGGATACCAACAGAAAGGAGACAGCTATGGGAGGGTGTAGGGGAATAGGAAACGGGGCAGCACAGAAAGTAGGCCTCATTCTTCCTTACCTCGAAGTAGATTTGTGAGCAGAAAGGGCCCAACATAGTTAGTGGCAAAGGTGACATCCAGGCCCTCTGGAGTAAGTGTGTTATGGGGGATTCCTGGGAGGAGGTAAGAACACAAGCAGTGAGTGATGGTGGGACTACCCTGAGGGAGACAAGGTCTTTGATGGATAAACTGGTGTTTCAGGAGAAATGCCATAGGGGCATGTACATGCAAAGATGGGGGCTATAATGCTTGAGGATGTAACTCAAAGTAAGCTTTTTAAGGCAATATATGAGTTAGGTTTCCAAAGCCATAAATCTTTATGTAAGTAGATTGTCCCATTTTCCTTCCACGGAGTGGCTGGTGAGTTTGAACGGCAGCCTTCGGTTAGCAGTCAAATGCCTTAGGCACTGCGCCACCAGACCTCCTGTTTTTTTGTTTTGTTTTTTTGGGGGGAGGTTGTTATGAGTTAGAACATTTCAGCAGGGTGTGCAGATTAGGCTTTAGGGACTCTTGTTTTGGGATTCCTATACTAACCCTAATCCCTAATCCGGGGAGCTCTGGTAGTGTAGTGCCTAAGGCACTTGATGGCTGACGGTTCAAACCGTCACTTCTTGGAAGGAAGATGGGGCAATCTACATCTGTAGTGATACTGCCTCAGAAACCAAAGGAGGGGTCGCTATGAGTTGGGGCTGACTCAATGGCACATAACAACAGCAATCCAGCAGTGGTTTGTTCTATTGTACAAAGGGTCGATATGAGTCAGAATTGACTCTATGGCAGCTAACAAAAAAACAATGTGCTAAAAAGGAAGCTCCTGAAATGCGATGAGGAAAGTAAGTTATGGCACATACCACAGATGCCAGCATTGTTTATCAGCAGGTGTATCTCAGGCTCTTTCTGCAGAAGCCACTGGGCAAAGCTCTGGATGGAGACCAGAGAGCTAAGGTCCACCTCACCAAGCAGCAGCTGATTGCTGTTTGAGGCTGCCTGGATCTCAGCCAGAGCTCGCTGTCCATGCTCTCGATTCCTGCAGGCGAGGATCACACGGGCCCCACGACGAGCCAGCTCCTGGCACACAGCCTTTCCAATACCTGAGAGAGGACAACTGTAGAGTAGACTAGTCTGGGGAGTGATTAAAGGGCAGTGGGGCTCAAAGGAGGGAAAAGGCTCCCTGACAGAGGGTGCTGGTCCCCCTCTCTACCCTCCCTGTTGGACCTGGTCAGGGGCTGAGGCCCTGAGGAGTTAACAAGGTAGGAAAAACACCGACCACTATTGGCCCCAGTCACCACTGCTGTCTTCCCAGTCAGGTCTGTGAAGCATTGCTGGATGTCCCAGGGATGAGACCTCTGCCAGATCCGCACAGTCAGTCCAAGCAGAAGGAGCAGAATAAGGAAAACAGAGCTAGGACCCCAGGCCAGTGTGCTGAGTAGAGAGCACAGCAACATAGTAGAGGCTGTAGGACTGCCAATGAAGCTCTATGCAGCCTTGACTCAAAAACAAAGAGGAAAGAGGATTACTAAAGCTTCTTGGAACTGAGAATTAGCCAAATGAGGTGTCTAAAGTACAAATTTAAGGAGGCACTCACATTCAAGTTTGTTCAAACACACTTCCCCAACCTGAGAGTGAACCCTCCTTAAATATTGCTATTGCCTCATCCTAGTCACAGTCTGCTATTGCCTCATCCTAATCAAAGTCCTGGGAGCTTTGATAACTTAATGCCTAAGACACTTGACCAATAACCAAAAGGCTAGGGGTTCACACCCACCAGCCACTTCTCAGAAGGAAGGTTGGGCATCTATTTCCATAGTGATACAGCCTCGGAAACCCAAGAAGGGGTCACTATGAGTCGAGTCTGACTTGACGGCACATAACAACAACAGTCACAGTCCTAAATTAATGTTTTCAAACAACAATTCAAATTTACCCATACTGTTATTGCTGTTTCCTGTGAACTCTGACTCATGGGTACCTCATGTGTTACAGAGTAGAACTGATCAATAGGGTTTTCTTGACTGTGCTTTTTTTTTTTTTTAAGTTTTTAGTGATTTGGGTGAAAGTTTACAGAGCAAATCAGTTTTCCATTCAATAATTCACACATATTTTGTTTCATGTCATTGATTGCAATCCCTTCAATGTAACATCAAGCATTCCACTTCCTCCATATTTGTTTCCATTCCTTCTTCTCTCCTAACCCTTTCTTCCTTCTGACCTTTGTCCTTGGGCAAATGCTGTCCTTTCAATCTTGAATGGTTGATCATTCTAAGGAGTCCTAACTCTCTAGTGTTACAGTTCACCTCATAGTCCTGTCTATTGTTTGGCTGAAAATTGAGCTATGAGGGGTGGGTTCAGTTCCAGGACTGAAGGGTGACTAAAGGCTACAGTCTTGGGGATTCTACCAATCTCTATGCAACCAGTAGGCCTGGTCTTTTTATGATTTTGAATTTGGTTCCACATTTTTCTTCCACTCTATCTAGGACCTTCTAATATAATCCCTTTCAGAGTGAGAGGTAATGGTAGCTAGGTATCATCTAGTTTTGGTCTCAGCGTCATTGAGCCTGTGGTTCACAAGGTCCTGAATTGTACACTTTTTTTTTCTCCCCACTTTTATTGTGGTGAAAACATACACACCATGATATTCACCAACATAACAAATTCTACATTTACAACTCAGGGACGTTGATGACATTGTTCATGTTGTGCTAGAGTTATTGCTATCCTTTTCCAAAATATTCCACCATCATTAGCATAAACTCAGTGCCCTGCAAACAAAAGCTTCCCCTTGCCCCCTCCCTCCTACCCCTTGCTCTCACTTCTTTAGGATATATACCTAGGAAAGGGATTGCTGAATCAAATGGTATTTCTATTTCCAATTTTTTGAGGAATTACCATACCAATTTCCACAATGGTTGTATCATTTTACAGTCCCACTGGCAGTGTATGAGAGTCACAATCTCTCCACATCATTACCAGCATTTGTTATTTTCTGTCTTGTTGAACTTTGCTATTGAAACTGAGTAAAGTCAGAACTATTTCCCTCACCCTGGTTAAGGCAGATAGTTAGAACAGATAAGACTCTGGATGGGAAAAGATAAGTAAACTTAATTACCCTCAACTATTCCCCCACTTCGACCCCGGTTGGAGACAGATGATTAAATACAATAAGATCAGTTCCTTAAGAACTGAATGAAAAAAAAAAAAAAAAATCTTTCCTGCTGTTTCCTAAGGCACAGGTGATAAAAGCATTAATGTGTCTTAGAAAACAACTTGAAAATTAACTCTGGCCCATGAAAATGTGCAGTGGTACAGAGAGGAACAAAGTTACTAGGAACTAACACTCTCCCTTCTGCCTAAACCCTGATCAGCTGATGACAGGAAGCCAGTGTGACTCATCTGTATGCAAGCACACTGGATCAAAATGCTGCTGTCTCTTTAAACCAAGGTGACAGAAATGTCAGCCAATCATCAACCATCTCACACCCAAATTCCTGAAATTTTTATGAATATGCATAACCCTCTCTTCTGAAACCTACAAAATTTGATGGAGTTTCAGGGGGTCAGATCTGGGAACGAGGATACCCCTACTCCTTGCATTGCCATTTTGCAATAAATAAATTTCTCTCCTCTTAATCACTCAGTGTGTAAACTGTTTTGGCCTGACTGCGCACCAGGCAGGGACCCATATTTGATCCTATTTCAATTTGGCACCCCAGATGGGACCGAGGGTCTCTGACCCTCTGCCCAGAACATGAGGACCCTTGGACAGTGGAAATGGAATGGACCCCTGATGGACCCTGTGCACAGTCAGACTCTGCTTTGTCTGAAGGTACGTAAGGGGTGCTGAGTTGTGACCGTCTGCAGCGTCCTTGGCCTCTAGGTGTTTTCAAGAGAAGAAAAAGTTATTCTGGGTTAAAAGACGTCTATTGGTGAGTATAGATTGAATTCTGGTCTGGCTTCTAGCTGATGTTGTTGTTGTTATGTGCCATTGAGTTGGCTCCAACTCATAGCAACCCCTCCTTGGGTTTCAGAGGCAGTATCACTATAGAAGTAGATTGCCCAACCTTCCTTCCAAGAAGTGGCTGGAGGGTTTGACTGGTTAGCAGTCAAGTGCCTTAGGCACTACGTTACCAGAGTTCCTTTCTAGCTGATACAGAGGTTGAAATTTTGGTTGATGGCCTTAATGAAGACATCTCCACAGCTGAAGCATTCTGGTCTGGCTTTAAGCTTATAGGGAGGTTGAAATTTTGGTTAGTAGCCTTAATTAAGATATCTCCACAGCTGAAACACTCTTAAGAATCTATACTCTGGAAGATGGCGGACTAGGCAGAAGGATTGCACAGACCCTCTTCAACAAAGAAAAGGGAAACCAATTAACACAGACACAGAAGATAATCTTGGAC